CCCCCAGCATGTAGAACTGTGCCTAGCATAGAGTAGCTATTCGGTACAGTATTTCTTGGCTGGAATGAATTTTCAAAAAGAAAGGAAGGAATAGAGAGAGGGAGCATATTTTTAAAACTCAAACAAATTTAAGAAGTACAGGCTATTTCGGCTGACTCAAGTATTAAACAGCTACTGTGTATGTAATGCCTATTGGATAATATATAAATACATATAACCAGATAGAAAACAATGCATTTATGAAAAAATTATGCGATTTTACTTGGAGTTTAAAAATCTATACTTTTCTTCCAGGCTGTTCTTATTTGCATAAGCACTTGAAGAACAACTCTGAAAGAACCCTAAGAATGTTCTCAAAGCAGCAGATCCAAGCTAGGAGATCAAATTGTCAATAAAGAGGATCTTCAGCTCTGCTATTCCAAAACCACTCCTTCACGGCTGCCTGAAGGCTGACAGCTCGGTAAATTCAAGGTCTCTCATCTATGATTTCTATATTCTAAACACAGAGAAATATGAGTGGGATATACTCAGGGTCACTTTATTTAAAAGGAAAGTTCTTTTTAGCATTCCTGTTCCACCTTCTACTCTCTTTCTTACTTTGGTTCATGTGCTAGAATAACTGAATTTCAAAGCACGTGTTCCTCTAGTCCTGTCCTTGCATTGCTCCAATAGACCAATCTGGAAGGACAGACTTCATTTACGGGCAAGGGCAAAAACTGTACAAACTAGTAAGTATTACTGTTGATATTTCAAAGATTAACATCTTTGTAAGAAGTCTTGGCCAGCCACAGTGCTCACACCTGTAATCTAGCACTTTGGGAGGCCGAGGTGGGAGGATCTCTTGAGACTAGAGTTTGAGATCAGCTTGGGCAACATAGCTAGACTCCATCTCTACAAAAAATTTAAAAATTAGCCAGGTGCGGTGGTGAGCACTTAAATTTAGTTCTAAGAAAAGTTGTTTGTGGGAGTGGATGAAGTTGGCAAAGGTAGGGAAATTATAAGAGGGAGCCTGCTCACCTCGTTTAGACAACTTCAGTTTTTGCATTCCCTTATTTCTAAGAGGGAACTCACTGCTTCAGCATGTTAGTTCTCAAGTACAAGTTCCTGCACTGCCTAATGTGTCTGCCACTATCTAACATGACTCTGGGAGCCCTACTCCTTGAGTCTCTGATGTAGCAGTTCTGATGTTACCAAGGAAATTTGGTTTTTAATGAATTCACAAGTTGCTGCTGATGTTTGAACACAGCCAAGTTTGAAAATCATTTCTGTAGATCTTTTTTTTCCTCATCACCTCCTACCCCCATTCCTACATTTCCCTTCTAAATATTCCCTTTCTAACATGGGATGAAAGGACAAGTGAAGTAGGTAAAGGTGGGAAGATGTATGTAAAATGTCGGTTTATTTTTTCTGCATCCCAGTCTACCTTCTGTGATAAACATACAGTCATCCGGTAAATAGAGGAATCACAAATATATTCTACCCCAGGCTCTAAGGGTTCTCATCTTTCATCTTCTGTTCCAGGATAATCATTATGTCTTCCCCTTGCACTAGACGCAAGGCAAACGTAAAGCAAATAGAAATGGATTCTTACCCACCCGTGGCAACTTTGTTATGAGGAAAAGAAAATACTGAGTTGCTCAAGGGACATCCATGGAAGAACAGCTAAAATACTCTTCAGACACTGGTGCAAAACTCTCAAAGAGCGAGCTCATCGGCAAGAGAGGCAGAAAGCACCTTCCCCATAGGACTTTTTTTTCTTTTTTTTTTTGAGACAGAATCTCACTGTGTTGCCCGGGCTAGAGTGAGTGCCGTGGCGTCAGCCTAGCTCACAGCAACCTCACACTCCTGGGCTCAAGCAATCCTTCTGCCTCAGCCTCCCGAGCAGCCG